AAGTAATCTAAATTTACGAATGCGTGTACTGTAAATACAGTACATACTTGTATATATTTTAATATGATTTTATGTGCTTTAAACGTTTATCTAGTGATATTACGACTTCAATATTTGTGGCGGACAGACGTAAAGTCGAATAAAATGACTTAAACTTGATTTTTATTTTTCCATATACTTTTTTAACAAGCGACGTATAATCGGGAACGACGTAACTCGAAACGACGTAAGTCGAGGTATGCCTGTATTTGTGGCCGACCTTTATATAACTTATTTTATTGTTACTTGTCTACATTATCATGATTTATAGTAAATACACGTTAAATTAATTATTAAATTTACTTACACAAACCAATTTTAAATACGCAATCTTGAACATCAAGAGGATAACGATGTAAATCCATAGGGCATGCCACACGAAAGCTATATCTATTCGAAGAAAAATTACGTATTTATCATTTTGAATAATAAAATTTATTACTTCTTTTAGTTGAAGCTTCTTCAAAAACATCGAAAACGTTCTACTTTTTGAAACAAATTGTACTCCATTTATCAATTTTCATATCTCAAGACTTTATCTTAGGTGTAGAATCATAAATGAATGACGACGAAAAAAGAAAATGTCGTATTCAGAAATTCAAAATAAATAAAACTTAATGATTTGATCTAATTTTAAAATATAAATAGGGCCTGTATTTTGTCATTATTACATTTCCGCTGTTATATTTAACAGAGGGAAAGTATAGCGCTCGGTCGAAACTGATCATTGAACAGTTTTTATTTTGTTTAATTATTAATAGAAAAGATTTTTATAAAATATCAAATAAGATGGCGCCACAGCAGTTTAAATGTACTGTAGGAAAAGTTAATCAACTCGTTGCTGGATGTTATTATTATTATTAAAGTCTGACAGAAGACCCCTGTTTTCTGTCATAACTCCAGCTAACAATAAAGAATAAATTCTTACATGTTACCTTAAAATTGCTTTTTTTCTAAACTACTTCTATATAAATAATAATTAATAATTAATAATAAATAATAATAATAAATAAGGATGCTGATAAATAATTTTATCTGCATCCTTAAACAATAATTAAAGTTCTTATTTATAGTATAATTTAATAGCCTAAGTTTAACTGTTTTTAACTGGCAAGCAGGCAAGTAACCAAACCACGAAGCAGGCTATGCTCTTGGATTGCTTATTTACCTGCAGTGTCTTAACTAGTTTTTCAGGTGTTCCTGCGCGAAATTTTAGTTTTTGCCTTCTTTTCTTTTCGCACCTACCAAGTTACGGTTGCGCATTCGTGTGCTACGTATAATCACATCTTTCATTTCAATCTTACCTTGCGGTTTTTCGAAGAATGCGATCCTTAGTTATTAAAATGAAAGTATTCGGAATGGAATGTTGGAAAAGATGACCCCATTTAGTGTTGTCAAACATCAAATCCGGAACCCACAGAGTGTCATCTGCGGAAGGAGGAAGTATTTTTGACAGTGTTAAATTAAGAACTTCAAGTTTCAATCTAGGATCTGTCCAGTACGCATTCAAATAGAAGAACATACGAAAGTCCTAAAAATTAAGAAGTATTTCTATCTATTGTTATGCTAATATTAATGGTAGAACGCAACAGCAATGACGTGACATTTACCATTGTCTGCTCTCGTATTTCATCCACATCCAGGACTTCCAAATTGATATAAACAGTAACAGGTTTACCTTAAAGTAAATACATTAATTTAAATTATGTTAATATCATTTATAAATTGGCGTACAATTCACAAAAATGATAATAAAAATGTTCTCAAATTTATTGCAAATTAAATTATATTACGTGGGCCTTAAAATTATCTTCGACGTGCTGCTTTGACACAGTGAATGAAACCACTCAACACGCGGTTGGTCGCGGGTTCGCTCCTTAACTATGGGCTGACAATATGAATAATCTCCAGGTTTTCTTGGCGCGTCTAATACCTAAATACATAGTTCTATCGAAAGGGTCACTTTTCGCAGATTGCCCATGTATTAATTTGCCATATCCTATCAAATCATTCATCTCCATGGATTTTCAAATGGAGAAGATACCAGCTACATCCAAATACTATATATTCTAATACACGAAATGCCAATTTTGGCAATGTACTAGTGTATAAAAAGTTCCCATGTTTGATATTAGGTTCCCGTCGATTAATTGTCACCTATAGATTAATATATTAAAAATAATATTAACATGTAAAATAATAAAAACATAACATGCTATTCCGCGTCCTTAGTTGGCAGGACAAGAGCTATTCGCATTGCATGTCTTTGATGTTGAGATGTTTCGTGTATTAGCATATATAGTACTTGTTACATCACTCCTACCCCGTCAATTTCCGGTCGAACTCCACATAATAGATTTTCCATCTTCAATGTTGAGTGACCTGATTATATGCAATTTGTAAATTTACATATAATATTGTAAGTCGTGTTTAAACTTTTATTTCAATAATATCATAGTAATATACTAAATTGTGACATTTTGTCATGCAATGGTATCATTTAGTACTGAATTTGTATTTAATCAATATTTGATAATGCCTTTCAAGCTGATAGAAGTAAACATAGAAATCATAACATTCCCATCGTTTAAAAAAGCGAAAAAACTATTTATAAAGCTTGGTATTATAAATCATTATATAAAATCATACCGATTATTATGAAGCAAGTTGCACGCCAGTAATATTTAATAGTTTGTTTGAGTTTGATGGAACACATCAACGCAACACATGGGCATATGCTAAAAAGAGTGCTTCCTGTGAGGAAATTCTATGGGAAACTGATCGCTATTTTTAACTGCGCGGCGTGAAGAAAATCCGGAAAAATCCACGTGACAGCTCGTTGTTCAATAAAGAACCTATGAGTAGTCCAGCTTCACCATTGGTGGACACATTTTAATGGTTCCGATTTATGCTTATAACTTTGATGTTTTATATTATCGTGCAATTGTTAAGAAACAGGCCCGATATGTCGCAGAGACAAGACCCGACACATCCCAGATACGTAGGGCTCTACAATCTGTAATATGTCGTGATCCCGTCTTATGTAGGGTGGGCTACTTTCTTGGAGCATTAAAATTTCTCTCTTGCAACAAGACCAAGTGTAAAAAACTCGATTTCAACATCTGTTCAGTGTTTGTAGCAATTAAAAGATGACAATTGTAAATATTTTCTTACCATCAACAAGTGGAGGCGCGTGATTATCATAATCAGTAGGTATTATATTCATCCAACTGCGATCCAGTTCGACACTAAAATGAAAATAAAATTAATTAGTTACCGTAATTTTGAATATTTATAGAGCTTAGAACAACATATAACTATTATTCCATTCCAATCGATTTAGTTCAGGGGTCGGCAACCTGCGGCTCTTTGCATGTAAAGCTGCGGCTCTTTAGTTCCATACGCAAATATTATTTATTTTATCAAAAAAAAAATTTAAAAATCGTTCTGAATCGATTAACGAGGATTAGGCACTGATTCTATCTCTCAGCCACTTGCACTCGCTTTTCACCGCACCCCTCCCCCGTGACACGCGTCGTCGGAAGCTCTCGAATGACGAAGTCGTCGAATGTTTCTATTATCTAATTTGTTGTGAAAAACACTACTTATATAGTAACCAATTATTTATTAAACAATAGATTACACATTCATTTCTTACAACGGACAACAGAAGAAAGCAGTCTTTAAACATCTTAAGTTTACTTCGACAATTTAATAAACTAATTTATTATTTTCGTTATTAATAATAGAATTTTAAAATAGTTTAATAAAAGGTTTTACTTTCGACCCAAGTGGGTTAAACACAAAACGACGCAAAGCAGCAGCACAATTCTCATCACTATCAAATGCCACCAAGTCGCTCAGGCTTACCAGCGGGCATTGTGACTTTTATTGCACGTTTATTATTAATCAAAACTAAAAAAAACACGAAAAGTACTTACGCAATAAATTACGCTCACTTTGGACAGTCACGCATAAATCAAAATTAAATGTTTTGCTTCGTTATTGATTAGTTTTTAACCCTTCCATCCCGTGTGGGCACTAAAGGGAAGATCTAGTAAGTGATGTACACATGTAGGGACTTGTTGCGACCCTAAGCTAGAACATATAATAGGCTTTATTCCTATACCAAACAAAGATACACGTAAAAGTCTGCGGCCATAACGAGAGGCCCAAACTTTAGCTTATGTTCAAACGTGGCCATGCTGTAACTGTGCGTCGAAACTGATTTCTCTATTTTAATTGTCTGTATTAAATTTAAATGATATTTGTTCTGTTTTCCGTGTATACTATTGGCTACCAACAGCTGTTCTTAAGGACATTTAGCTCTGTACACTGAAATGCGGCACTTCATTCGTTTGCGATTTTTGGGAGAAAGGAAATAAAGTTTTATACTAAAATTTCGTACAAATGTATCTTATAAAATGGTGAATTATAAATTACTTTAATTATTTGTGGAAGTTTTCCCTGTAAACCTTCTTCTGTCAGGATGTTAGGTTAGTGAGGTTCGAGCTTAGCATATAAGTAATACCATAACGAACGAATATAAAAACGATTACAAAATAACGTGATATATTTTAGTATTTAAGGAGTGACTAATACATGTGTCTAGAAACCCACTCCCCCTCAGGCATTGTTAGAAATTACCCGCAAACATCAACCAAGAACTGTTTTCAAGGACAAGTGACTGTTTGTAGTGTACTGCAGTGTGCGCTATCTAGTTGCAAGTTTGTATTATATGAATAATAAAATGTATTTAAATAATACGTAATAAAATAAATAAAATTTTATACTAAAGTTTTTATAAATTTATTTTATTATTGTTTTCTATATTTAGTACATATAAAATCAAACGTAAATGTACTGTTATTGTTAAATGTCTACTTTGGACTTTATTTATTAATAGGACTTAAACTGGTGGTGAAAGATTGACACAGCAATTAGAGTTAGTTCAGAAAAAACAAAATTTCTTTATTGTATCACCTGTAGTAATAGTTTCTGTACACTTATCACTTGTGTTTCGGGCTAGCATGCCCCTCATCAGCAGTACTACTACCACAAACTAAAGGTAACAATAAATAAAATAAGATATTGTATAATTTAAAATCTATTTACATAGCCATAAAAATATAATTTTAAAAAACTTACTGTAAATACATATTCCAAAACCGAGTATACATGTATTTTTCTCTTTGTATAAATTATTAATGACATAAACATTTTGCTGTATAAATAAATTTAAAACATTATAAATAAAGGTTGTAAATTATTAAAAAACTTTAAACATTTTATAAGAAAACCAAAAACACTCACTATGTAGGTTTAATATTTTCACAATTCAACATCATCATGGTAGAAATTCACTATTCGTTTTTATAATCGTCATCTAGTATGGTGATCCAGGATTGGTAGATTATACGACCTAAATTGTTGTTTATTTTATTTCTTTCTTTTTTAATGTATAAATGTTCGTATAATTGACGTTTATAATTATTTGATTCTTTTTTCTTAATTTTTATACTATTTTTGTCAATTTGGCACCCATAACTATTGCAGTGTTCTGCTACTGCAGAATTTGCATAATTACCCCTTATTGCACGTATGTACTCTTTTATTCTTGTGCTCAATTTTCTTTTTGTTTCTCCTATATAAGTTTTGACTGGATCACAGCTGCAATTGAATGAATACACAATTTCTTTTTCTTCCATTAAATCTAATTTTTTGTCTGACCTATGATATAAATATCTTTTAAATAAATTATTTTTTCCAGTATTAAATTCACTTTTCCATTTAGTATATTTTTCACTCTTTCAAATAATTTAGGTACATACATCAAATTTACACATTTTTTATCTTTTTTAAAATTTCTATTTTTATTATCATTATTATTAGTCCAGTTTAACCATTTTTCCAGTATTTTTTTGGGGTAACTATTCAGTAAGAACATTTTTATAACTTGTTCTATTTCTATCTCTTGATTTTCTAATTTACTAGTTCTGTTTTTAATTTTTTCTATGTACATTTTAAAGATGTTAAATTTCATAGTTTGTGGAACATTGGTTTTGTAATTTAATAGTTTTGGTATTTGCATAGGTTTTATAAATTTTCTGAATTCCAAATTATTGTCATTTCTATTAATGGTTATATCTAAATAATTTAGACTATTATTACATTCTGTTTCGGCTTCAAATTGTATGTTTGTTTCTATTAAATTTGCCTATTTTAAAATTTCATCTTCCCTAGTCTTTCTACTATCAAATAAAATAATACAATCATCTACATACCTATTATAAAATATTATTCCTTTTACACAGTGCGGCAATTATGTTAGACTGGATGTAGCTTTTCGGAGATTAGTAAAATCAAGTCAGACTCGCGTAACTAGTTATATAACAAAGAACAAAGAGTGCACAAAAGATTACACAGTCGTCACTCCCGGAAGGTCAGCGCTCGAAAGGGGAGAGTGAAACTAGGTCACCTTGCCCGAGGGGTCAGGAGCGCCACCAACCTTTTATTACGTCATAAGAACGTTACAGCACATCGCGATCGTTGATTCCAACACACCCCCTCAACGATTGATCGTTAATACAATCCAATATCGCGAGTAAATTTCTTAACTTTATTAGCGTCTAGCGGCTTCGTTAACAAATCGGCCGTCATCCGTTCACTCGGACAATAGATTACAGTAATTTCTCCCGAATTCTTTAAATCACGTACAAAATGGTATTTTGTGTCGATATGTTTCGTGCGCTGTTGTGCTTTTCCTAATTCTAAAAGTCGAATACAACTTTGATTGTCCTCAAATATTTTGATAGGTGCTGTAATCGGTAGATTTATTTCTTCTAGAAGTCGTTTCATCCATACAGTTTC